GCATCCTGTAAAACTATTGTTCAGTTCAATGATTTAGAATCAGCCAAAACATTACAGGGATTGTTTTCAGTTGTATAAAATCTTATGTTAAGATGTTTTTTCTTGATCACCTTTCCAAATATTATTACCTCTCTCGTCACCATACTCTACAAGTGTTGGCAGTATCTAACCCCAAGCACATATAAATTAGCTCTGTTTCAGAAATAAATATCAGTGGCAACATCTTATGTTTTTCTCCATTAAAATATTTTCTCACAATATTTGTGCGGTGATTCTCTATTGTTTAATATATCGTACTTTGTCTACTTGCTTTCTGCACAATGTTCTATTGTGTGAGGATTCTACAGTTCAGGCAACATACTGTCGATAAACACTTGAATTTTATCTGTTATGGCCTATGTGTTGTTTCTAAAATTCAAATATAGTTGCAGGTAGAATGGCTCCATCACCCTCCCACTGCTCCCCATGTTTGTGTGTGTGTGTGTCTGTCTGTTTGTCTGTATGTATGTCTTTGAAATTATGATTGTCTAATTCATCTTCACAGTATATAAGAATTCTAATTTTGGAGCTGGGGAGATATCTCAGCAAAGTGAGAATCTGAGCTCAATCTCATAATATTTGTAAAGTAAGTCTAGTGTGGTAGTGCAGGTTTGTAATTCCTCAGAACTTGAGAGGTTGCCATCACCCCAGATAGGGAATTAATGGCAGATATCATCAAAGTTCAATTTAGTGAACCAGTGAGTTTTCTTGGAGTTACTTACAGGAAAATGCGTGAGGACTGCTTAGAGGAGAAAACATGACTCAAAGAAAACTACATTAAAAACCCACCATCATGACTAACCGCTCACAGTCTGGAAACCTGAAAGCACACTGCACAGCCTACAGGTAGCTCAGGAGTTTTGAAATTGTCTTTTCCAGGTAGTTGGTCTGAGGCTCTTGAAGGCAGCTCAGTTGGTCTTTGCCTCTTTCAGGCTGCTTGGCTGCTTTCTGCTTCCTCCAACCTGTTCATCTGGTCTATGTATTCTGGCTGTTTGACTGGTGAGATAGTCTTCTTTGTAGCTAGGCTCATTTAAGAGTGTCTCTCAGCAGTCTTACTATTTAAATACTTATATTGAATCTGGTCAGAGATTCGTGGGAGCTATTTTAAGATCTTTATGTGTTTAAAAAGCTTCCTGGCAGGATGGTGTGTTTCAACTTCTTTTAGAATAGTCTTTTGCTTCATGTCTTTGTAAACTACTGTCCTAAAAATCTTGTTTTACCTACTTTGCACATCATATGTTGTAAAAAGTTTCTCTTCAAAGGTGGAAGGCTTTTTTGAATAGGAAAATGCTACACAGAAGCGACAGACACAATGCATCTATAAACCATTCAGGCCCGGCTGATTAGCTTATGTGGTAAATTTCAGGACAGTGAGAAACCCTAAAAATTATGGGTTGTATCCAATGACTATCTACTTCAAGACCCAGCAATACCACTGTTGTGTATATACCCAAAAGATGCTCAATCATACCACAAGGGCATGAGCTCAACTATCTTCACAACACAGCAGCATTATTTGAATAGCAAGAACATGGAAGCCACTTAGTTGCCTCAACTTTATAAGGAACAAAGAAAATGTGGTACATTTACATAGTGGAGTACTACACAGTGGTAAAAAATAATGGCATCCTGGAATTTGCAGACAAATGAATGGATTTAGAAAGAATATATTGACTGAAGTAACCAGAACCAGAAAGATATATAATATGTATTCACTCTTTTTTTTAAATATAATTTTTTATTGAAAAAAAAATTTCCGCCTCCTCCCCGCCTCCCATTTCCCTCCCCGTCCCCCTTTTCCCCCCTCCTCCCTCTCCTCTCCCCCTCCCCCCACTCCTCTCCCCCTCCCTCTCCAGTCTGAGGGGCAGTCAGGGTTCCCTGCCCTGTGGAAAGTCCAAAGTCCTCCCTGCTCCATCCTGGTCTAGGAAGGTGGACATCCAAACTGGCTAGGCTCCCACAAAGCCAGAACATGAAGTAGGATCAAAACCCAGTGGCATTGTCGTTGGCTTCTCAGCAAGTGGCTTTTGGACATAAAGAAAAGAAAAACCAAGCCTACAGACCTCAACTCCAGAAGTGCTTTTGTTATCATATGTGGTTTACTTGTTCTCACAAAAATACCACAGATGTAGACATAGCAATTATAACAGCTAATTGCAAATATTCTTTGAAATATGCTTATTATCAAAATTTTCTAGGATATGTTAGTCCTTCGCACATCCATATAATGATAAAAAATAGCCTCTAAATTCCTGTGAAAGACTTTCACTTACAATTTTGATTATGTTCACATTGAATCTATAGATTATTTGAAGAAAATTATATTTTATATTCCATGAATAAAGCATATTCCTTTATTCTTTATGTTTTCCTTAAGCTCTCAGGGGTTTTCATACTTTTCAGGGTAAAATCTTCCTTTCTGTGTGAATTATCAAGTTTCAAAAGACTGTGAAAATATATAGTTGAGCAATTATTATAAGGTCACTCATTTTCAGGGAGGGAATCATAATTCTCTTTCCTAGAAGACAATATAACAGACAATTGATAAAGCAGTATTGTTTTTTAATTTGCATTTCATTGATTATGTAGTGTTTGGAATTTGTCTTGTTTATTGATTGTGGTTTTTTATCAATGTATTCAATTTCCTCTTCTTTTATTGGATAATAACTTTATGCAGTATACATGATCTCTTGTTAAGTAGATACTACAGATGTTCCCACCTGATTTTTGTCTTAATTTTGTTTGATAGCTTTGAATTCTATTTCTAGAGGGTAACCATGTTCTTTTTCTTAGATCATTTCTGCTAATTCTGTTATACCTTTTTCTAGACACAATTTTAGCTTTTCTGTATATTTTGTATAAAGTATGATTTTAGTATATAAATTGTGTATTTGTAAAACCTATACTTTTAAATATTAAAACTTTCAAATATTTAAAGTTATCCATCGTAAAACTAAAGAATAATAAAAATTAATCTTGTATAAAATTAGGTGAAATTTAGGGTAGATACTCACTGAATTAAATGTATTTGTTTCCATTTACCACAGAGAACATGTATGAAGAATATAGTTTGAGAACACATGTAGATTTTTGGAAATAAATTATAAATTTTTCTAGTCTTGTGTCTATATCTATAGTTCATTGAAGATGTGACATATTATATATAAACAATGATTATTTAAGCACAGGCCAAAGATTTCTTCTTCTTATCTTCGCCCATGGTCTGTGTAGTACAGTCCTTAGAGCCTAATTTAAAGATGAAGAAACAATAGCAAATTTATATGAGTAGGTCTCAGCTCACACCACCATTACCAGCATTGACTGACTGATATTGTCAGAGAAAAAAGTCAATACAGTCGCATCTTAATGATAATTCAGTATCAAACTATCCAAAGTATAATTTTCCTCCAATAGTTTGTATTAAGAGGAAAATATGGTTTTCCTTTTTATGTGACATATTGACAAAAATGATACATGTATATCTTCCAAAAATTGTAAGATAATTTGGCACTCAGCGTTAAAAAATCATGGTGACAAAACCAACCATGTTTTGTCACTAAGCATTGATTTTACTTCCAGAGAAATACAAACAGAATGAAATTCTTGATGTCAAATAAAGTGATCAAAGGCACTATTTGAACATATTTTAAACAAATTGTCAAACTATCTTCTACAAGGGGATGTCAATACATTCACTGGATCATATGGGGTAATCAACATTTTCACAGCTTAGACAGCAATAGAGTAGATAAAGCCATTATTTTCATTTTTTTTTTCATTATGACCAAGGCTGCCATTACAAGTTGATACTATTTCTTTGAATTAGTTTTCATTTTTGGCTCCCTAAAGAAAATAACTTTATTCTTGCTAATCCTGGCTTTCTGTTTACCCAGGAGTTTTAGCAACAGTTGCTAGCATTTAATGGTTTTATTGTCTTTCACTGTCCTGCAGAGAATTATTCTAAGCAATTTTTAAAGGATTACTTTATTTAATTCTTGGATTAGCAATGTGTCTGTATTATCTCCAGCCTAAGAAAGAGACACTGGAAGTTAAGGAAAATAGGGCTAGGATCTTAGGCAAAAGCATAAACCAGGATTTAAATCTAAGTACCTAATATTAGATCCAGCAATATTAAACCTTATAACATATTGCTTACAAAGGTATTTGGCATCTGTCAATTCTAATGTTATCTATGCTTAAGATTTAGAAGATCAGAACAGCAGAATGCAGGGGCCATGAGAGGTTAAAGAAAGCAGTACATTTGAAACTTCCATCCATGAGGGTTAGTATATACTAAGTCTTTCATAAAAAGAACCAGCAGGTCATTCTGTTAGTCTACTCTCACCCAAACGCCATCTTTACTCTTTATAATACTGCAAAGCTCTGTGTTTGGCATACACATTTAGTAATGAGAAGTTATATAAGGATTGTGTTCTTTATCTTCGATCAATTGGAATATGTATCTATGTAAGTGTGGGTGAAGTTTTTTGGTGCGCTTGTTTTTTTATGTTCTTTTGATATAGGGTCTCATTCTGTAACTCTGACTAGTCTTGAACTTGCCCTGTGGCCAAAGTTAGGTCATGGCAATGCCTCTATCACATATATGCTGGTATTACAGATGTGAGACGCCTCACCTAGCTTAGGTGCATATATTGCAATCATAAAAAAAGCAAATAATATCTAACTTTTTTTGAAAAAAATAATATTACCCAATGGTTTATAACATGTAAATGTGATTTTACCATGTCATATGTGTAACTTTAACATCTTTTAAAATAAATGTTTCAGCAAATGGCTTTAACATCTTCTTTTGAATACCTTAGCTATTTTTAGTGTATATTATGAGAATTATTTATCTTTGACTTTCTTCCCCTTTCAGGCTTTAACATCTTCTTTTGAATACCTTAGCTATTTTTAGTGTATATTATGAGAATTATTTATCTTTGACTTTCTTCCCCTTTCAGGTCTCCAGAGCTTTGCCTGAAAAGCAGGGAGAACTTGAAGATCACATAAAAGATTTTGGGAAATTTGAAGAGCACCTAGATCACCTGCTTCTGTGGCTATCTCCTATCAGGAATCAATTGGAAACTTATAGCCAACCAAGTCAAACAGGACCATTTGATCTGAAGGTGGGTGCCTCTAACTTTACATTTTCATTTCTGGCTGAATGACTCAATGACCGTATTGAGCTTCTCATTGGTTCATTTGAATGTTTTCACTCCTTAGAGCAGGACAAGGATAACATTATTAAGTTCATCATAATAGGCATAGCAATCTCTGGAATGGGGTTTACAGAGTAGACGTGGGAAAGTAGGAATTCCTTGCCCATCAGCAGGGTTAGTGGGTTAGAGGAAAGACCTCGGGTAAAAGAAAATTCTAGTTAAATAACAGGTGTCTTCCTGAAGATAGGCCAGAGTGAGCAGACAGCATCTTGGTGATGCTGAAGAATGAAGAATCTAATCAAGTTAAAGGGTGATCGGATCCAGAGGTGATCATTGGTAAACTCATTTAGCAGGGTTCAATTTTGTTTTGATTTATATCAGAAATAGTAAGGTTAAGGCTGGAGATACCATATTACAGTTGATGCTGTTGTGATCATTATTATTTCAGTAGCATTTTTTGCTTCTTTCAGAATTTACTAGACATGTTTTTAGTTACTTGTTCTCTATAATGCCCTCAAGTTGTTAGTATGATCCAGTTTTCATCTCTGCTTTAATTGCACTTAATAGGTATGTATTTGTAGATATCTTTTCCAAAGCCGATTCTTATCTAAAATTTCTAAAATTTTCATCCTGAACATTTGAGAAAGACGTGCTTAAAAGAAGGAATAAAAATAGAGAGATTGAGAGGTTTGATCCTGTTAAATTGAGTTATACTTGCAAAGTGCACTGTTTTCCTTTTAGCTTGCTTCCTCTTGATGTTTTTATTGACCACTCTGATAGTTGTGCATTGAGAACACATGGTACTTTGTAAGCCACAAGTAAACATCATTTCCCTAGTATAAAACTCAGCCTGTTCAATCACTGTCATGGTCTTCAATTCAGTCTGACAATCAAACTTATGAGTAGCAATAACCTTTGCCCAGTAACAAATTAATTTAACTTATAAAATATAAATATACAAGACGAGTAACAACACAGCCTGTAAATCAAAAGAATGCTGTCAATCCTGGCACTGATATACGTCTACTGATGTCTGAGTCACCCTATCCTTGAGTCATGTATGATCGCCAGGGAAGGCTGGACAAAGCTCATCTTCAGTTCTGAGAAACCACCCTTCCTAGAATTTTGTTTTTTTTTTTTTCAGTTCAGTAGTACATAGTATCTTCAGACATAGTTGACATGCTTACAGAATTACTAGTGCTACAACTCATCAATTCTTGTTGCTTCATCACTGAATTAACCAACCCCATAAGAAGGTACATTTACTTGACTCAGATGGACCATAAATTGATCCAAATTACCAATTATGCTAGGCCTCGTATTTTCTTCGTCTTTAATTTCATATCACAAAGAAGAAAAGACAAAAATTTTTTTCTCTCATCTCGTAATCATTATTTTGCTTTTGTTTTAACTTTTGTAACTCAGGTAAAAATCTGTTCATCAAAATGTGTCTTTTCAGAAAAAAACATAATAACGTGAATACTCTTTGAGAGAGCTCTCTTTGTCTCTGGAACATACGTAAGAGAAAGGAAAACAAAATCCCATCACACAACTAATAGATCTTGTTAACACTACAGAAATGATTTTAGTCTGGTCTGTGCTTTCCCCAGCCTGTCCCCAGTTAGTTCTCAAACATCAAAAAGTCACATCAGCCATTATCAAGAGCACATTGGTTTCTGATAAACAGGTCTTAGAGTCTGGAGTGAAGCCCCTCTTTTCTGTGTTAAGGAACTTCATTACCAAAGTCCCACTTCACCACTCTCAGGGCTGTGTGGTGTTTTGGTGTCATTCTGTTTGCTTCCTACAACTTAGTTTAAATCACTGAGGAGAAAAAATGCAACTGCATCTTCCCATGCAGAAAACTCTTTGGCATATTCCCTGTGCAGACTGAGATTATTCATCTTTGGAGTATAGATTTCAAAAATGCTCCTTAAAGCTCTTTCTTCTCCTTTGGCAGTATCCAGGCCAAAAAGACATATGACCATATGTATGCTAACTGGAGAGCTTATCCCAGAAATCCAAAAATCCTTGACTTCTAATAAACAAATAATGGCCTCTGTTAGTAATAACCAATTCTTTATCCCTCTATGTCTACCTTCTATTTCTAGTCTCTTTCTAATAATGATTTATTGAGGTTATGCCATTTTTCTTTTTGCTTAAATTATAGATTTTAGTTTTAACTGCTTGCTGTATACATCTCTGCTTAAAGAAATTAAATATATACCATCAATGTAAAAAAATGATAAAGTGGAATATTATTTGCTGCACTTTACCCAAAATAAAAAATAAAGCTTTTAAATGGTTTGGAGAACAAGTCAACTTTTTTAACACAGGAAATTATAATGCCTTAAAAAATATCAGTTAAAAGACAGTGAAATTAAGTAGATATAAAGAAAGATACAGCCTGGCTCCATTTACTCGGTTTAAAGAAACTTTCTTTTTTCTATCTATGGTGGTCATGGATACCTCAGAGTTAAAAGGTCTGGGGCTCTGAAACTCAGGTCATTCACTTTCTCTGGTCAAACTCTGAGTACCTGTTAGAAAGGAAAGAGAATATGTAATGTCCTTCATGAGCTTCAGTTTTTCCTGCTCTGATATTTCCTGCTTGTTGATGAAATGCAGCAAGCTATGTAATGAAATACAAATTTAAAATAAAAGAAGAAAGAAAGGAGGGGGGGGGAGGATGGAAAAGCCGTCAGCGCTCTGTTCTAATACATTGTTTATGCTAGAGTGAAAATTGACTGCACATCACTTGGTTTGTGCAATTTACTCCCAAAATATTCCTATTCAGGAAATCCTGCAAATAGCAGTATTTATCTTGAAAATCACCTCACAGAACCCTTAGCAAGCTGAGAAACATAATCAATGAGATCGTGCTGTAGAGGGTGAAAATGAGACATAATCAGAGCCCTTGCCCATCAGTCAGCCCACTAGAAGGCATGCCTTTGAATTTTGATTTTCAAATGTACTCTCAATTTAGACATAAACTATGTTGATTTCAAATTTCGCAAATGATAATTGAATGCTAAGATCCAGGGACCAGTTTAGAATTTATATAAAGGACCTTATGCTTTTAATCTTTAATGAAAGCCTTCAATAATGAGCCTGAGGTAGACTGTTTATCTGACATAAAACAGCCTAACTACTGCTTTCCAAACTTTTTATTGAAATAGGAGTTAGGGGAAATGTGTAATTCTCTCTGTTAAAACTTAGTAAATGGGTTATTTCCATGTTGGTGACAGAGATAGTGTTTCCTCCCTCAAGAATGGCTTTTCCTTTGTGGTCTATAAATAAACCCTACCATGCTAGAAATGTGGTTGTCTGTAATGTCAAATCTGCAGACCACTAACAAAATCCTAATAACTGACCACTGCAGTAACTAAATACCCATATCAAGTGTTCATATTGCAGTGAGTATTGCCAAAGAAAACTAGTAATGGACAATTAAACAGGCAAGAGTGACCTCACCCAAAACTTGTACAATGTAAGGGTAAGATTGAACTCAATTCTATTCAAACAAGACAGGAGAGGATTCGAAATGAGTCTCAGTTGATGAGATTGCTTGTCTTTGCATTCATGAATTACTGCAGAATAAATCAGGCAAGCTATAGCAAATGCCAGCAATACCAGCACTCAGAAAGTAGAAATGGAAGACGTTGGAGTTCAAGACCATTCTCAGCTATTTAGTGAATTTGGGGCCAGTCTGAGCTACCTGAGGGCCTATCTCAAAAAGAAAACAAACAAAAACTAAACACACCCATACCAAATCCCCAGTACCCACCCCCCATCCCCCCCAAAAAAAAAACAGATTGGATCTTCCTAGTGCTAGATGAATTAGTAGAGAAGTACCTGAACGTTTCTAGGGGAAGTGGATGAAAGTAATTAGGCCATCTATGTGTCTCAATTTCGTGTTTTGGCCATCAACGTTTTTCAGTTTTGTGTTTTGAAGTCAATCCTTATCTTTCCACAAACTTGGAGAGCAGGGCATAATTTCCTTGATGCTTACATTTCAAAGGGTTGGTGTGTCAGAGGGATCTGGAGGACAGATATTCTTGAATCAGAAAAGAAGAGATTGTATATTTGTGTGTGTGGTTTTTTTGAGACAGGGTTTCTCTGTGTAGCCCTGACTGTCTTAGAACTTGCTCCATAGGCAAGACTGGCCTGAAACTTATGGAGACCTGCCTGCATCTGCCTCCCCAGTGCTGGGATGAAAGGTGTGTGCCGCCACCACTGAGAAATTGTATCCTTAAGAGGCATAAATGGACCACATAATTCAAGGACTTTTGAAATTAATGATCTTCAAAAGTGGAAATAAGATTTATGGTGCTGAAGTAACCAGTAGAAACTTTCTTCAAGTTGATACAGCAATCTTGGTCAGTCGCTATTTTGCTCTAGCAAAGCCCAGGATCCCCCTGAGCAACTTAGCAAAGCTGTTTTATGAAACAGAAGATGTACCAGCAAAAGAGACTCAGGACATCATGTTGTTCACCTTGAATACACACAGTATTTTGTAGTAGAAGGGATTGAACCTAGCACCTCGTGAATGCTAGGCCAGCTCTCTACCACTGAGCTATATCTCCAAGTCTCATTTTATGATTTGGTTTTATAGAGAGCCTCGATAAAATGCCCAAGCAGATCTTGGCCTTGTCAGACTTGTGAGTAGCTGAAATTACAGATCTGTGCCACCATGCTTAACAGACATATAATTTTTTTTTATTTATGAATAACTGATCTGTAATATGAGAATATTTTGTAATTTTAACAGACTTTTAAACTAATTTCTCATTAGGATTCTGTTGTGCTAAAACTCGATGCTAATGAGTTTACTAATAAATTCATAGCAAGCATTAACTATGTGACATACGATTCCTGTTCCATGAGCCTTCACTTCTTGAGTCTACTGAGACTGCAAGCATAGTTTTCTTCCTCTTCTTGCAGGACCAGTTGTTTTGCTTTGTGACAGAACT